GGGGCTGGCAGGCTGCAGCCGGCGCCTCCGCCACTCCCGGGAGCATGAAGGACCGAACCCAGGAGCTCCGCACGGTGAGTGCAGCCCGCGCGGCCGCCTGCCGCCCGCGCCCGGTGCGCCAGGGACTTTTTCCCTGGGCCGGAGGCTGTTGGGACGGCGGCTCCCGCGTCCCCGGGCAGGGCTCAGGGTGAGATGCGGAGCGGGGGACCCCGACCCCTCGGGGTCCCGCCCCTCGGAGCCCCTCGGGGTCGCGGGCTCGCTCGAGCTCGGCCCCGTTGGTCTGTGGACTGTTGGCAGGAGCCCGGGGTCTTGGATAAACTTTTCGCGCCCCCTTGTTTTGGGGGGTCGGGGTTATTATTAGGGTTCGGTGGCGGAACGGAAGCCTGACCTCTCCTCCGCCCACAGAGCAGGTCCCATCTCTGTCTCTCCACTGACTTTCATTCCTGTCACTCCCGTTTCCTGGATGGGATAGACGGCGGGACCGCGGTGGGAACTGGCTGGGGAAACCGGGTCGTCGGGTGGAGGCAGACTCCACCGCTGGAAGCTTCTCTGGGGCGCCCCGCCCCCCCATCACCTGTGGCTCCCGTCACCTGTGGCTCCCCACCGGGTGGCGATAACGATCGCGGTCCTCTGCCAGACCCGCCCCTAGTCCACCATCGTGGCTTCTTTGCAAGCCCCCTGCCGGTGTTTCCTGGCCCTTCTAGGGTTCTCTGGTCTGATTCCAACCTGAATCTCTTTTTCTACCTGCGTCTCGGAGGCAGGCGTCTGGGGTGTGACTCCTGGGGCGGGGTTTGGGGCGAGTAGGAGGGTGCATCTGAGTCCGAGCCCACCCTGGCCCAGCCCAGACTGAGTCCGTCAGGCCTGGCCCTCTCACCAGGGCCCTTCCTGGACCTCTGCCCTTTAACAGGTTGTTGGCATCCGTGCCCTTAGGGGTTGGTAGGGGCAGTGAAGGAATTGAAGCCCACCTGAGGACGGAGGGAGAGTGAGGATCAGGACCCTAGACCAAGTACCAAGTTGAGTCTCACTGACTCTCTGCCTTACCACCCTATTGACAGGCCCCACCTACAGATCTGTGGTGGCCCCAGCTCAGTGGCTTCTCAAAACCCCCCTCTCCACCTACTTTGGAGCTGAAGACCTTGGTCCCCTTTTACAGAAAGTTCCAAGTAACCTTTGGGCTATTGATCCTGTGGCATGCCCCCTCTGCCCAGGGGCTCCCTGAGTTTGTGCCAGGGTCTCCCCCATGTTACCAGTCTTGTCTCCTAGCGTCCTGGAGCTGGGACTTCCTTCTCCTCCTTGCTCGGACATGGCAGCCACACTTTCCCCTCAGACTTGTATTATTCCTGGCCTGGTGCCCAGCCCCTGGAGTAAACCCCATGAGGTTTCAAAGGAAGAAGATGATCCCTCAAGCCGTATATGGTCTCTAAATACTTCCCCCGCCAGCCCTTGTGGTTGCCCTCAAGTTTCCTGTGCTTCTGGGAATCAGAAAGAGTGTTATCTGGGTGAGGATTGGCTATGTGGTGTGTTTGCTGATGTTTGGGTACCTGGTGGGTCAGACAGGGTATGGGGGGGGCGTGGGGAGGCGCACAGTCCATTGCACTTGGTGAGGGCTGCCTCACCAGCCTCTCATCCCCTCCTCTGAAGGGGAAATTGAGTCACAAATAAGTAGCTTACCTGGCATATCAAGATGGATGGTAGAAAGAGGCTTTCGTCTAGTCTCTGAAGATGGTCAGACTTAGCCCTGGCAGGGACTGTAAGAACCCCAAGAGAGCCAGGTTGTGAGGGATTTGCACGCAGGTCTCTTTGCTCTGGGGTGTGTCGCTGGGACTCACCCCTACCCCCACCTCATGCATACATGCACACATAGGTGTGCATGCGTGAGCACACACTAGCCTGGATGTTCTCTCAGACGGTGAGCTGTGAGCAGCATCAGAAGTATTCGGAGCCGTGGAGGCTGTCCCCTCTGCAGGGTGGCCCTGCTCATCGGAGGGGAGGAGTGGGGGCTGCCATTCCCACAAGTCTCTTTCCCTCTGGGCCTTAGGTTTCCATCTACAAAGTGGAAACAGGAAACCCTAGAACCCAGCATCTCAAGGTGGGAAGGCTGGTCACGGGTCTCCCGACTGACTGCACCTTTGAGGGAGACCTTGAACCCCAGAAGTCAGAACTTTCAGCCTGTAATCTCCAGGAGTCAAGCAGCTGGTGCAGGCTGGGGAGGATGGACTGAGGGGGTGCTTGGGACCCCCCATCCTTCCCACCCTCCCTTTTTCTCTCCCTCCCTCCCTCCTCCTCCTTCCTTCTCCTCCCCACCCAACGCCACCACATTTGGAAGGAAGGCGAAGCAAGCTTATTTATAAAAGTCACACTTGGGGAAGGAGCTGGCGTGTTTCCTCAGCGCTCTGCAGGCCAGGCCCAGCCCTCCAGCCTTCTCCAGCCCCCACCTCTCATGGGGCGCCTTCTTTCGCTTCTGCAGAAGGGGAACGTTGGGGGCCCCTACACTGTAGACAGGCCCTCAGAGATCAGTAGGGGCAGGCCCTTGGGGTGCAGATGGGAAAGGTAGCCCAAGAGAGATGGAGACTGGTCCAGGCCACACGGCCCAGGAGAGACTTTTGGGGCAGGGTATCCCCAGGCTTCCTTGGTTTTCTGTCTGGGGTCTTCCTGGAGGTGACCCACCCTCCCTGGGCCAAACCACATTTATGTACATGGTGGACCGTGTAGGGCACGTGGTACCTGCTAGAAGTTGGCTTCCTGGAAGAGGAGAGCTGGGGAGGGCCTGGAAAGAGAAAGGAGGGTGATTGAAAAGAGGAGGAATTATGGGATGCCCTGATGGCAGGCTTCTCGGGCCCTGACGTCCACAGCACCAGGAGGGCAACACTGTAGGTTGGGTCCTTGGTCTCTCTAAGCCCATTTCCTCGTCTGTAACATGGAGCCAATAGTATCTGCCTTGTAGAATGGTGTGAAAATAGCGGGGCAGGGGAGCTCTCAGCTCACACCCAAGCACGGCCTCCCTCCTTCCCCACCTATCACCTCCCTGGGGTTCCCAGAACAAGCAGTGGAGTGGAGTTTTTTTTTATCAGGTACAGATGGCATGGCCGTCAGCGACCACCTAATCCAGCATCCTGTTTAACAGATCGGAACACTGAGGTCCAGAAAGGACCAGGGCATATCCGGGTCACACGGTGCCTTAGGGGCATAGCCCAGCCTCTTTCACTCCCCGGGCTGCTCTGGGGCCCTGCCAAGGGACTGATTACTGAGAACCGGGTACCGGGTACCGGGGCTGGAGGAGGAGGCAGGAGAGGCTGGGGGCTGGGACCAGAGGGCCCTCTTTCCTGGAGCCCCTGCTTGGCCTCACACACCCCTGACTCAGCTCTGGGCCTCTCTGTACTAGAGATATTGACTTTGATTAGTCATTAAAAAGAGGAAAGGAAAAAAAAATAGCCCTCCAGGCAGACAACCAAAGCCAGGCTTCGGTGATGAATCAACCTGCCGCCTGGCCGGCCGCCATCCCCTGGGACGGGCCTGGAGGCTGCCTGGCCTCCAATCCTCTTGCCTGGCCTCCTCCCCGCTTCTGGGGAAGTGTCCTGGAATCCCAGAGCCTCTGCCAAGAGAGACCACCTGCCTGGAGAAGGCCAGCCGGCCTCCCTGGCCACCTCTACCCACGAAGGGTAGGTTCAAATCCGGTCACTGCTTCCCACCCTGTTACTTCCATTCCTGATCCAGCAGCCTGTAGGTGAGGGGGTGAGACTAGGCCATGCCCTCAACTCTGTGCAGGCTTCTAAACAACTTAACCTTGCCACCCTCACCCCATAAATTCTGATTCAGTTCTTCAAGAGGGAACCCTGGAAGTGTTTTCTTAAAGTTCCCCCAAGGGATCCTGGTGCTGGTCCAGGGTGGTTGTTGTGTTGTTGTGTGCCGTCGAGTCAGACCCGACTCATAGCGACCCCTCCTTGGGTTTCCGAGGCAGTATCACTACGGAAGGAGATTGCCCCATCTTCCTTCCGAGGAGTGGCTAGTGGGTTTGAACCGCCAGCCTTCTCGTTAGCAGTGAAATGCCTTAGGCACTACGCTACCAGAGCTCCCAGTCCAGGGTTGAGACCCACTGTATTAGGAGTAAGAAGCAGCAGGCAGGTTGGGTGTTGGCTGGATGTGAGAGGAGGGGGCAGAGTGTGGGATGCCCCCAGGTTCCTGGTTTGGGGGCTCTGAGTTACAGCAAGGCCTGGAGGGGGGGTCAGAAGAAGGAGCTTAGGAGAAAGAAGTGCAACCTGGTTCGGGCTGATGGCAGGTAGTTGCCTGTGTGATGTCTGGGGTGGGGCAGGGCATCCAAAAGACGTTTAACCCTCAAGCTTGTAATGCCCCACGGCTCCAGCTGCCGCCACGTCCCCAGTTCCAACCCAGCCCTCTTTCTGGAGCTGTGACTGCCACTCAGAGAGGATCACTAGATTTCCAGGGAGCTGGGACCCTCCTCATTCAGCAGTTAACAGGGTACATACTCTGTGCCTGGCAGCTAGCAAGCAGAGGTGCATCCTCTCAAAGAGTGCATGTGTACGTCCACCTGGCCGCCGGGCCCTGGCCCGGATCTGATGAAGTTGCAGGGGTAACAGTCAGGAGCCATCAGATTCTCTCTCACAGAGTAAAAGTCCCTTACTGGAGACAGCAGGGGAAAGGGCTTGGGCTTTCCTTGTCAGGAAGTGCTGTATGACCACTTATGTGATCTCTGGTTGTATTAATAGAGGTAGACCATGTAGAAAGAGGGAGGGGATGGGTCAGGTCTTTGGTACTGCTCAGACCACAGTCACTAGCCAATTCTATTTCTGTGCTTACTGCGGGAGAACACAGGCCACACACAACAAGACTCAGACAAGGGCTGCAATTTAGGGCCCCTGGGAGCAAATGCTCGACCTGAGAGAGAAACCCGGGGAGGATGTAGATGCTGCCTTGAGATCACTGACAGATCCGCCCCAGAGAAAGAGAGGGTGTCATTAGGTTCTTTATGGCCTGGAGCCAAACCACAGGACAAGGAAGGATCTTCTAACAATCAGCACTGCCCAAGGTAGGCGGGGCTACCAGGGAAAGCTAATGAGCTCCCTGTCACTGGAGGCATGTAACTGCAGACTGGAAGCAGAGGCCAAGGTGACTTTTCCATTCCCTTAGGGTTCCGACAAGGATGCAATCAGTGTGTAGGGAACCAGAGGAGTGATACTGACTTCGGGAGCAGATGGGGAAGGCTCCCAGAAGGAGGTGGCTTCCAAGGATGAGGGGAACATCTGCCTAAGGGGGTCAGTGCACTAGACAGACAAAATTGCCTGGGGAAAGCCGGGAGGACAGGAGGTGGATTGTGGAGGCAGGGAGGTGGTTGTAGGTGAATTGTGGGTGTGTGGGGGTCAGGCCTCAGGCTGGGGTGCTGAAAAGAAGGGGAGGGGTGGGAGTAGGAGGTCCTGAGAAGGAAGAAGTGGGAGGTCTTAGTGAGGATGGAGGTGGGGGAAAGGGGAACGTCCTTCCAAGGCTTTCCCTAGATCCACAGCTGGTTGGTCCAAGGCCCTAAACCCTCCGATTGGCTTGGGGGCCAACTTCAAAGCCACCTCTAGGGTGGACCCCCATCCAGGTACCCCAAGATCCTGCGCTGGGTCTCCCTTTGCCAGCTGTGCCTCATCGACAGAGGGCCTGGAGGTGTGGGCCCTCTGCTGGAAAATAGACTGAGTGTAGCCTTCAGCCCTCGGGAGGCTCTGGAGGGAGCAGGTCAGAGCTAACTGGTCACCTTGACAAGATGTGTCCTCACTGCACAGATGGGCAGGCTGGGGCCCAGACAGTGATACGACCCCACACCCCAGGGGTCTCTGAGGCAGGGGCGGGGGGCTTGGCGGGGCTGGCAGTGATTCTGATCTCTATGACTCTGGGGTCTTTGGCCCAAGCTGGCCATTTTTATTCTTGCTGAAAAGGGAGCTGCAAAAGTCTCCTTTCCTTGTTACCTCTGGCCACCAGAGCAGGTGGGAAGTCCTGGGGCCACTGCCCAACTGGCAGGCTGCCGGGAGGGGGGAATTGACCACCTCAAGGCTGCACTCTGCCTCCATTTCTCTCAGGGGGGCTCCTCTGACCCAGCTCTGTGGCCTGGCTTGGCTTTAAGGTGTGGAAATGGCTCCTAGATTCTGTGTGCATGGGCGGGCTCAGGGTGGGGGGCAGACACCTGGTGGCAGCCACAGACTCTGGTGAGGAGTGGGAACAGGAATTTATTTAGCTTCGGGGGAGGAGGTGTGATCTCTTGATGAGGCCCCTCCCACGCGCCTTCAGGAAGCTCCCAGCTCCCTCTCTTTGTCTGATCCCCACTTTGGTGGGGTACTGGAACCCCAGAATATGCTGTGTTCTCACCCCCTGGCTCAGCCTTCACTCCCTGCAGCCAGATGTTGCTGACCCCATTTGCTGGAAGAGTCAACAGGACCCTTGAGAGAGTCCTGCAGCTGTCAGCGGCAAGTGCTCGGCCTAGAACCCGGGCCTCTGCCCAGCAGACTGGCGGGTCCCCTCAGTTCCCAGCCCCTCGACCTCCATCTGCCTCAGGTCTCGGCCCTGAAAGGACAGAGCATCAAGGGAGGGGCCAGTGCCAAGCCAGACAGTGTCCCCTTCCCACAGGGCACTAAGAATGGAGGCGGTGGGACCTTGCCCTAGATCCCAGGCTGAGAGGTGACTAGGCTGCCCTGGGGTGGCCACGCTGGAAATCCTTGCCTTGGGTAGAGACTGGCCTCGGCCTTGCCAGCAGAGTGGGCTGACCTTGGCAGACCCAAGGCGGGGAGCCAACAGTAATGACCCTGACTGGCATGCTGGGAAGTCGCAGGTAGCATGACTGGCCCCATGCTGGGGAGTGGCTTTGGCACAGGTATTCCTAGGGCTGGGGGGCTGGGACCAACATCGGTGTCTGGGGCCTAAAGCAGCCTGGAGCCAAGTGGCAACGTAACTGGCCTCTCGGCCTAGAGGAAAGGTGTGTCAAGACTGTCAGGGAGAAAAGCCCCTGAAAAGGCTGAACGGGCCAGTGAGAGTCCCACAGGCCATGTGTCCTAGAATCATCTGGGGGGCACTGTGGAACGGGCCCACAGGGTGGAGCATTGGTGGTACCCAGGCCTGGGACAGAGTGGGACAGACAGACACGTCTCCCTCTACAGAACCCTCCCAGGAAAAGAAGCCTAGGAACTCAGAGCTCCATCTTAATGAAACCTATAGGACGTGGCTGGGTCCCTAAGACTAGAGAACACTGGCTTCTGGGCAGCCTGTCTGCTGGAAGAGCAGGGGACCAGACACAGGCCCAGCTAACGGCAGACACACCCAGCCCTTGGGTGGCTTCAGGCTCAGGAGTTGTAGGCCAGGGACACCAAGACCTAGGGTGCACCCTGGGGTGAGAGGTGTGCAGGGACCACCCTGGACCTGCAGGAAGGGGCAGCTGGTCAGGGGACGGAATTCCAGGCCAGGAGGCAGACACTTGGCCTTGCTACCAATCTCATAGGCTGAACCTTTCTCCTTAGGCTTGTGCCCAAGGGTCCTCCTGGTCTCACTGTGGCTCCAGATGTGAAGGCTGGAAGCCAAGGGCACAGCCAGGCCTGTTTTGTCCCTGCAAGAGGTTCCAGGAGGGAGGGGGACACTTGGGGCCTGGAGCTGCACCTGGACTACTTGTATACACATGCCCCGTGTCTCTACTCAGGGGCTCTGGTAGCGTCGTGCCTAAGGCACTTGACTGCTAGCTAGAAGGCTGGAGGTGCAAACCCACTAGCCACTCCTCGGAAGAAAGCTTGGGCAATCTACTTCCGTAGTGATACTGCCTCAGAAACCCAAGGAGGGGTTGCTATGAGTCGGGTCTGACTGAACGGCACACAACAACAAGTGTCTCTACCCATGTGCCAGGCCACATGGGGTCCCAGGTCTAGTGGGACCCAGAGGTCCTTCTGCAGACCACTCATGTGCATCTCCCTGTGTAGGCCAAGGACAGCGATGACGATGATGATGTCACCGTCACTGTGGACCAAGACCGCTTCATGGACGAGTTTTTTGAACAGGTGGGAGCCAGCCCACTCCATCTCTTCCTGTATACTGGCTGACCTCGGGTGGCCACGTGTCACCTCTTTGCCAGGCCTAGGTCTCTGACATAGCTATGCCTGGCTGGGCAGCCCAGGGGACACTAATTAATTAACCCATTTTGAGGGTGAGTAGGTGAGCTTGAGGAGCTCTGGTGGCGCTGTGGTTAAAGCGTTGGGCTGCCAACTCACTGCCTTGAGTCAGATCTGACTCATAGCAACCCCTCCTTGGATTTCCTAGGCAGTATCACTGCAGAAGTAGATTGCCCAACCTTCCTTTCGAGGAGTGGCTGGTGGGTTTGAAACGCCAGCCTTCTGGTTAGCAGTCTGGTGCCTTAGGCACTACACTACCAGAGCTCCTATTGGGCTGTTAACTGGAAAGAAAAGTCGGCTGTTTAAATCCACCAGCCACTCCTGGGAGAAAGATCAGGCAGTCTGCTTCCATAAAGATTGATAGCCTTGGAAACCCTCTGGGGCAGTTCTGCTCTGTCCTCTAGGGGCGCTGTGAGCCAGTATCCACTCCAGGGCAACGGGTTTGGTTTGGGCTTTGCTTCCGTAAAGATTTACAGCCTTGGAAGCCGTCGGTGCAGTTCTAGTCTGTCCTCTAGGGGCAACTTGCCAACGGGTTTGGTTTTTGGTTAGACTGAGCGCAGAGGGGAGTTTGGGATTAGAGCTTACAGTGGTCTCCCACGTAGAAGGGTGCTTGGGAACAGCCACCCTAACTCACACTTCTCCACCTGAGCCCTGGGCCCAGGCGCCCCTCCCTGTCACCTTGCCATGGTCCCCAGGTGGAGGAGATCCGAGGCTTCATTGACAAGATCTCGGAGAATGTGGAAGAGGTGAAGCGGAAGCATAGCACCATCCTGGCCTCCCCCAACCCCGATGAGAGTGAGTGTGGGACTGGGGGGCTGCCACCGGGAAGGGCCTCCCTCCAAGAAGCCTGGCACCTCTCACTGCTGGGTACACGGGCCTGGCCAGCTGGGGGGGGGTTCCATGGAAGGAAGGAGCCTCAGATGGAAACCCCAGTCCCAGGCCTAGGGTCCTGGGTGTCCAGAACCACTGGAGACTTAGGTGAGGAGGGCAGCCCTGGGGGCTTGCGAGGGGGCACGCGGCCAGCCCCACCCTCACCTGGGGAGCTGGCTTTGCTCCACAGCAATGGGGCCAGCCACAGCCCTGGAGTCTGGGAGGGAGGAGGAAGGCCGAGTCAGCGGCATCTCCCATCACTAGGAGGCCTCTCGCCCAGCCCCTCCCTCTCCCTCACCTCCCCAGGGAGCAGATGGCAGCTCTGAGACGTAAGCACTGTGGGAGGGCAGGCCGGCCAAGCAGGCAGAGCTTCCGGAAGGAGCTGGCGGCCCTGGCACCTGGCCACCTTCGTACCCCAGGGCTGGGCACTTTGGGGGCTCTAGTTACCTCCCTCCCTCCTCTGCTCAGGGAGCTGGTGTGTGTCTGGATTGCACTGTGTCCTCAGGCAGGGCCTTCTGACCTGCCTCACGATTCCTGTTGAGATGCTGATGACCTCACTAACCAGAGCCAGGCTGACAGCATGCAGGGCTGGTCCCTGGGAGGGGCTCGCCCTTCCTCTCCTTGAGACAGTGACTGGCCCCTGAGGTGCCTACCTACACTGACTGGGCCATGTACCTGCTGTCTCCATGCGGTGTTCTTTTTCTGTTCCCTGCCTGTCCTGCTCCTTTGGAAGGCACCAGCCTGAGGAGCCCCAGGGGGACAGCACAGACACTCAGGGAAGGGCCTGGGACCTCTCTGGCCTTCAGGGTGGGGTTTTTATCCTGGTCTCCAACACTGACTCCCTGTCCGTGACTCCCCAGACCACCGGCTTTCTCAAGAACCTAGATCAGTCTTCCCACAGCCCCAAGGTGTGCTTGAATCCCAGGCCATTGCCACACACACCCACCGAGCCCATTGGGAGCAGGGAGACTATACCCGGGAAGGGTGGGAAGGAGAGAGGGCCACCCGAGGCAGGGCACACAGCAGCGCAGGCTTCAGGTCTTCTCACTCCCCAGGGCTTTGTCTGAGACAGCCGGCTTGGGATGCAGGGATTGCCGTGTTTAGTGTCTGCATGTGACCGTGTGGGCCGCTTCTGGTGAGGGTCAGGAGGGGGAGGGAGCAGAGGACTCTTAAAAAGAGTGGGGACTTGGTGCTCATGCTGGCAGGGTGGGCGTGGGGCTCCCCCGGGGCCACCCAGGTTCCGAGCCACCCTCTATGAGCTGAGCAGTCGGGACCCGCAGGAGGTCACTGCCGTGGGCCGTGACGGGTGCTTGCCAAGGGGCAGGGTTGCCTGTTGGAGATGCTAGGGCTGACGTCTGGGAAGGATGGTGGGGAGTGGGGGGGCTCTCCTGGGCCAGGGCTGGCTCTGCCTCCTCCAGGGGCTACCATCCGGGCTGGGCTATTTTGGGTCTGAGCAAAAGAGGCTGAGACATGGGAGCCAGCTGGTAACCGAATTTTCTTTTGTTCTCCCTGCGAACGAGGCGTCCTCCTCCACTCCTCAGAGCCCCCCGGCCCCCCTCACATGTTCCACTTGGGAGGAGGCCCCACCTCCTATCTTCCTGATAGGCCACCCCTGTGTCGGCAAAACCTGCCCCAGAGGCAACAAGGGGTGCAGTTGGAGGGGCTACAGCGGGGGCTGCAGGGTGAGGAGTTCTGAGGGCTGCCTGAGGCGTGGGTGTCGCCAGGACCATCGCTCTGCCCAGGACCCCTGAGGAAGCAGCCAGCTTGCCCCATTCTGCCAGCCAGCTCCTTGCAGAGAATGGAGGGAGCCGGGTACTCTGCCTGCTTTAGGGCCATGGTACCATCTGGAACAAGGGCCAGAAACCCTCTGCCACCCCCTCCCCCTCCAACCCCATCCTGTCAGAGGCCCAGCTGCCTGTTACCTCCAGGACTGATGTCCCAGGAACTCACCTCTTCAACCTCATCCCTATCAGCTCCCATCAAGGCCAGGTGCCTCTGTCCCCTCCCACCCACTAGCAATTCAGCTGTCAGCCTCCACAGGGCTCAGTACCTGGAGAGGGGCTGCACCACTAGTGTTTGAGGCTCTGACCCAAAGAATGCTGGGTCAGGGGAGGCATCTGCCTCCCTGTCCTCCCCCAACTGCCTACTGGCTAGATGCTCACCCCTGAGCCACCAGGTGAGCTAGCTAGGTGAGCCCACACCCCCACCTTCGACTCGGGCAAGTACCAAGTAAGTGTGGCTGCCCCAGTGCCAGCTCCAGCATCACCAGCTGCTCCACAATTATTCCTGTCTTAAATTTAGACCCATCTGTTATCTGCTGGTGGGGGAACCAGCGAGGGAGGAAGGGAGCTCCTTGGAAGGTAGTAAGCAGGGGTGAGAGACTGCAACTGGTACGGCCCCAGCCCAGGGTCGGAGGGACAGGCAGAGCCTTAGCTGGAGAGGGAGGGGATGCCCCCGGTATCCCCCATCGGCCCCCTGTGCTGGGGCTACACCTGGGGATCAGGCAGCGGGGAACCCCGGCTGTCTACCCCCACCCCCTCTGCCTCCCCAGAGACGAAGGAGGAGCTGGAGGAACTCATGTCTGACATAAAGAAGACTGCGAACAAAGTTCGTTCCAAGTTGAAGAGTGAGTCTGGGCTCAGGCCTGGTTTGGGGGGCAGGGTCACTGCAGGCCCACTTCCTCTGTTAGCCCAGGGGGGACTCTGCCACCCCAGGTGGTGGGTTGGATCTTTTGTTTCTCTATGAGGGTGCCACCAGATGCCCAGTTACTCAGCAGCTCCTTGGCACTGTGTTTGACGGGGTGAACAAGGGACCAGCACTGCCTGTCCCATACAGAGGCCCCCATGTGCTATGTGGGTGTAGACATGCAGACCATGAAATATACAAGCCTAGGCTGCTGCTCTGCAGGCGGGACCCCTGGCCCTCCCCACCCTGTGGGTGGCCCCTGGTTGGGTACATGGCCTTCCTGGGCAGAAAGAGACACGGTAGGCCTGAGCCACTAGGCCTAGTACATAGTAGGTGCTCACATAAGAAGCTTGGCCAGAGACAGGCCTCCCAAGCAAGCATGCATGGCAGCAGGTGCACACCTACCCAGCTAGGAGGTCCCTGCTCGGCCCCTCCTCCGTCAGCCTGGTTTCCTCTTTGCTTCCTGTGTGGCCTCACAACCCGCTCAGCCCTCACAGTCTCCCCAAGCCCCCTTTTGTCCCCAGGTCCTGAGCCAGATCCTGGGTGTGGGTTGGGGGCACTGGTGAATGGGGGACTGTCACTCAGCAGTCCTCTGCTCCCCCAGGCATTGAGCAGAGCATTGAACAAGAGGAGGGCCTGAACCGCTCCTCTGCCGACCTGAGGATCCGGAAGACACAGGTGCAGGCAGGGATCTGCGGGGGTTGTAAAAGGGGGGCTGCCCAGGTGCCCGAGACCGTGGACCGGGACTGACGCACCCCCATCTCACACTTCCAGCACTCCACGCTGTCCCGGAAGTTTGTGGAGGTCATGTCTGAGTACAACGCAACGCAGTCTGACTACCGTGAGCGTTGCAAGGGC